ACAAATGCAGTCACATGTGTATGGTGCTGGTGTTCTGCTCTGCAGCTGCTCATTTGTTGTGCTCAGTGTGGAGAGAAGAGTGAACTCTCCAGGTAGAATTGTGACTGTGCTTGCATCTTCCTCAGTTCTGTTAGTTTTTGTTTCATGTACTTTGAGGCTTATTTTTCAGATAGTTAAAGTGCTGTGCTTTGCTGAACCACATGATCATATAACTTTTTCTTTTATTCCTGATTCTTTCTACATAGGTTTCTTGTTTAATGTTTGCCGGGTGTGTTTTTCCATTTCTAACATCTGTGGTAATTATAGCATAATAAAGTGCTTTTCTTGTATATGGCATAACACTTCCCTTTTTAATCCATTCTGACAATTTCTCTCAGTTGTATTTGGACTGTTTACATTTAGTGTAGTTATTAATATATTTGGTATTAAGGCTTAGCGTTTACTTTTTTCTCTGCCCCCCCCCCCAAATCTCAGTTTCCTGTTCTCTTTTAGATTACTCAATACTTGGTTTTGTTTGTGCATTTTCTCTATTACTGCCAATAGAAACTTTTTTCTTTTTAAGGTTTATTATTTTTAGTTATGTGTAGGCGTATGTGTCTATGTGCAGGTATGCATATAAAGGCAATTGCCTTCAGAAGCATCAGATTCCCCTGGAGCTTGAGTTACAGAAGGTTATTAGGTTGCCTGATGTGGATACTAGAACCAAACTCAGGTCCTCTGGAAGAGCCCTGTGTGTAGGATTAAAGGATTTTTTTTTTAAATGGTACTAGTTTTTACTTGATCTTCAAAATATTTTCTACTAGGTTTTGATTTTTGGCTGTTTACAATTTTAAGCACTGGTAAGAAGTCTTGGGCTGGCGATATTACCTCATAGGACTTGAGTTCAGATCCCCCGAACCTGAATAAAAAGGCAGCGGTTATGGTATATTCCTGTGACCTCTTCACTGGAGGGAAGGGTTTGGTGGAGACAGATGGATCATTAAAGTAACCAGCTTAGCTGACTCTTAGGAGTTTCAGGTTTGGTAGAGACCCTGACTGAAAAAATAAAGTTGAAGAGCAGTGGAGGAAGGACACCTGTCATAGACTATGGGCACCTATGCACATCTATGCACACCTGTCCACACCTGCACTGACAAGGACACACAGGTTAGCACGCGCGTACACACACACACACACACACACACACCCCTCACCCCCACTGCCAAATATTCCTTGTATATGAGGCAGAGTTTTGATTGATTGACTTTTCTCTAGAACAGTCTTCAAGTAGCAGTTTTTGTGTTAATTTTTACCCTACAAGAGAGTCTGATCTTCATTTGTGTTCTGGGAACCAAGCTGGAGGCCTCAAAGAGGAGTCTGCGTAATTGTTTTCACTGAGCTGTTTCCCTGTCTGTCCTTTTCCCTAATGATGTAACATTTCAGATGCTCCCACCTCAAGAGCCCTGCACACCACTGTAAACAGGCACTCTTCTCCTGAGGTGAGTCATGTGTGTGTTCAGAGAGTCTAGCATTTTGGACTTCATGTACCTTAAAACTGCCTTCTAGATCTTAGTTTTACTTTCTTCTTCCCAAGTCAGTTACCGTTCCTTCCTGGTCCATAGCCCACAGTGACTTGCTCTGTCTTCCTTGGCCAATGTCATGAGGTGTCAGCTCAGTTTTCTCTCTTGCAGTTATCATTTATCCAGAATTCACATGTTAGTCCCTTTCTGTTTGTTTCTTCTTCTAATGTCTTTATATATT